GATACTACAAGAGGAGGTTATTTACAATAATGTTCTGGACTGAATTAATGTAACATGAATAAATTACATACTCCTTACTAAATGTTAAGCCTATTTTGGAGTCACATACAATACTGGTAAAGTATGCATAAGTTGCATCTCAGACTTAGAGGGGGAAAATGACATTGAAAACATACAAAATTATTATTTTTCCCATTTCTTTATTATTGTAGGTTTCTTTGATGCTAATAAACAGAAAATTAGAATATTCCAGCAATGTGAACCTCCTGAAAGTTAAATCATTGCTATAATAAACCTCATGTTGCTTACATGCTACTTTGTTTTATGCTTGTAATGAGACACTGTGAAAATGCAAGTGAACTTGACCTCGCCCTAATCTTTGGACTTGCAGAATGATCTGTGCTTGAAACTTCCTCACATTTCCTTTCATGTGCCAGATCAAGACTGAGACCAATCAAATAAAGCAGCGTGTCCTGAAGGCTTGACTCTCAGCTGTCCAGACAGTTAACCCGACCTATGGAAAAATTAGACAATCTGTTTTCTTTGCAGACTTACAATTGCTATATCGCATTATAGGACACTAATTTCCCAACAGTGTATACTTTGAAGCTGACAAGTGTTAAGCTATGATTAAAAAATTCAAAATGAATCCATGTATCTGTCACTTAGTTAACCCCGTTTGCACGGGTGACCAAAACTGGAACCCATCTGTCAACAATTTATATAGAAGTTAGGTACTGTTGAGACCTCATAGTGAGGTGAATGGGTTAACTTTCTCATTGCTAGAAGATCAAATGAAGATTTTGACTCAAATCATGTAAAAGGAGATAAGTCTAAAGGAAAGTAGAAGATTCAATTATATTGATCTCAAGGAAAGAACCACAGAGCAATACAGTAAATATGAAAACAAAATCAATGAGCACCTTCAGTTGATGGTGTCCAAGAAGTCATGAGTATTCTGTAGTCCATTTGAGAAAAATTATTTTATCAATTACATAAAATATTTACCAATACTAAAGAACTAAATTCAAAACATTTTCAATAATCACTGGTTACATAAAAAATCTGAAACAGTTGCTTAGTTCAATCTAGATTAAATCCTTATTTGGGATTACTTTGACCAAAAAAAAAAGTCCATTTGATGTTTGTGTATAAAATCTTTTGGTGTGCTCTCTTTTTGTTTATTTATTTATTTGTTGAGGCTAGGGGAAGGCCACTTATGATTTGCTCAGTAAACACTTATATATGTATATGTGTAACTTTCCCACATTCAGAGTTCCATAGGACTACTCACATGCAAACTTATGTACCTCAATGTTTGCAGGATTGGGGTTTAAAAGGTTATCACAATACCTTACTTTTTGTAACATGCTATTTTTAATTTTTTTCCAAGAACAGAGTAAGTCATTCAGATAAAGTAAGGAATAGGTTTTACTGGACAACACAATACACCATTGTATAATCAACCAACAGTAGTCCACTACTTCACTAATTATTTCATATGGCCAATGTCAGAAGTGTACTGAATTTAAGCAAATGCAGAATTAAGTAAGGGAATCAACTTCAGACTGGGGAAGCATTATATTTTACCCCAAGAAACAAAAATCAGAGCAAAACCCAACAACAACATGGTAAACACCTGTAATTTATTTCCTAATTTAATTATATTTCAGAAGCCACCATTGCATTGCATTTCCTCTCTCTCCCAGCAGCAGCAAGAAAGGGGACAAATTAGAAAACAGAATCCTTTATCTGTGGTTTCGTCTCATAAAAGACCATGTTAATTTCAATGAAAGCACAAGTTGAGAATTATAGCAGCTGGCCCTTAAATATATGGAAAAATAGTAGCAGTTTTACTGCCATATGAATTTTTTTTCAAGACTTGTAATGCCCATGATAACATGTGCAAGTTTCTCTAAAGAGGTGCTCTGTATGCATATGTTCAATGCCTAGATAAATGTTACGGTTTTTATAAAGCAACAGAAAAAAATGGGTTTGTAAAGTCCTTGTATCTTGAATGTCTACTAAGTTACCCACATTGCTTACAATATCTTACACATATTTATCCTCCCCTTTTGAAAAAATTGGAAATTTAGTTTTTTATTTTAGACTAGGGAAGGCAATGGGAGAATTTTTTTTTTGAAGTTGGGTAGCCATATTCATTCAAATTTGTATATGAAATTATCATGATGTGCAAAAATTGGGTAACAGTTGCACACAAATCAGTAATTAGGTGAATTTGCACATGCAGCTGATTTACATGTATATGTACAATAATTTTGATATCCTTTGCACATTTTTCCATAGCAGGCAATACATGTTTAGGGTATGCCTACACAGCAAAAAATGACTGGCGGCAGCACGTCTCAGAGTTGGGTCAACTGACTTTGGCTCGCGGGACTCACACTGCAGGGCTAAAAATAGCAGTATAGATATTTAGCCTCAGGATGGAGAAGGAGGGTCTCAGAAACTGGACTCCATCCTTAGCCTGAATGTTAACACGGCTATTTTTAGCTCTGCGGACCTGGGCTCTGAGAATTTCTGCCATTTTTTTCCTGTGTAGATGTATCCTTAGATTCACAGAGTTGTACTAATTTTAAAGTTACTTAAGATGAGAAATTAAATCCCTTGTTAGAAGTATGACACCAAAATTATGGTATTAAAAGTTGCTAAAGAAAGATAAACGTAAATGTGATTACAGTCATTTATATATAGTAATTAGAACAAATTTTCCAGATGAATTTGTTGCAGTGTTTATTTATGAAAGAAAATGACACCTTTAGATTTAGTAACAAAGTTGTGAAATTTATTTGGATGTTGTTACATGTTTTGTTTCTTTTCCATTTACTTGTACTAACTATAATGAAACACAATTGTGTATATTCTATATAGTACCAACCTAACAAGTTGCCTGCATGTGATCAGGATATGAGCACATTTTTCTAGATCCTGTGGGAGAAGAATCTTGGAATAACATGAAAAATATTTTAAATTGTCACTTTATGAACTGAAGTGGCTGTTGTTCTCTGTTTCTTTTACTTCTGATTTTTATAAGTGAAATACTGACACATGCCATTTCTTCAGGTGCTCTTTCCCTATATTGATATATGCCAAGATAGGTTTTTGTCCTTGTGACATTCAGATCCATTCAAACTCCACATACTTCGATATAGATAGGCTCAGGCATAGAAAGAAGTGTTTACAATAAAGTCCTTAGGGGTCAATAGTAAATAAAGTAAAATAATATCTAGTACTTTATATGTTCTAAGCACTTTACAAACATTAATTAATTCTCAACTGTGGAGCAGCTAGATATATGTAAGCATTATCCCTATTTTACAGATAGGGAAACTGAGGCAAAGGGAAGCTAATAGACTCAAATCCATACAGTGAGTAAGTGGAAGATACTGGAAAGATAATAAAGCAAAAAAGAGGGGAAATGGAAGAAGGTTGTATAAAAAGGCAACACAACAAAAATTTGGGAGCATGCAAGAAACATGCACAGAGAGAAAGTAAACAGAGTGAATTTTTCAAAAGATGACACAAAGTCAGCACAATATTGTCCTCTGTCTTCTCTCAACTCTGCCAGTAATGTAGGAGATTCACCAGCCCATTCCTCCCACACAGACTGTCTGAAAGCTCGGGGAGGTGGGTGTTGAACTCTACTACTCACTCATTCAATGGCAACAAACCTTTGTTAACACAGAGTTAAGGTTGCCCAGTGACAGCTTATGCCCTTCAGAACGTCGAGTTCTGAAGTGACTTGTCCAAGATCCCCCAGCAGCCCAATGGCAGAGCTAGGAATAGTCCTAGTCTAGTGGTCTTTCCAGATGGCCACAGGGTTGCTATGTACTCAGCGATCATCCTCACTCCATAAATTTTGTTATAGTGCAATGGGGATGATGGTCATGCTTTGAAATATTTGCAATAGGTAGTTGATAACAGGGCTGAGAGAAATCTCATCCATGGCCGAGGTCCCAAACCTTGACAGTTTTATTACATGGTTGTTACAGTAACTTTAAGTGTGTGAGAGAAGACTGCAGTATCTCTTTCTTCACTCCTCCCCCACAACACGTAGCTTCCTCCCCCCCCCACCATTTCCAGCTCCCCTCCCCTTTCCAGTTCATTAAGACATTAGTTGGTACAGTAGAAGCTATTAACATGTAAGAAGCTGTTCCTTGTGGTCTCCTGCCCTATGCTTCGGCAAATAAATATCACAGGCAGCAGCTTAAGGAGGGCCACAAACTACCTTGGTTATGTAGCCCAAGGTGCATGCTGAGCTGGGCCCCTTGCTCCTACTAACCACCCCCAGGTGGGACTCCTGCCCCTGCTTCAGCCAGGTTTCCCCAGCCATGCCGCAGGCCCACTCACTCCTCCCCTCCTCCAAACTAGCCCCCCACTCTGGCCAGTCCCCCACCTGATACAGGGGTGTTGTGTATCTTCACTATTTATTTTCTGGATTTCAGATTAAATTTGCATTACTTTCAATTCACCCTTCACTCAGGCCCAGATCCAGGCTCACATGGAAGAACAGGGAGAGGGGCTCAGACACTCCAGGGAGGCAGGGACCCCAACATCCCAGCTTATAGGGGACAGAACGGAAGAGGGCCTTGGACCCCCCAGATCCTGCACACAAAGAAGGGGAAAACATGAGGCTGACAGACAGGCACCCCTATCTTATTCTCCCTCAGTCCACCTGCCAATCACCCCTATGTGTGCTCATCACCCCCTCTCATCTGAGCTCCCCAACCCTCTCACCTTCCCTACCACCAACCATCCCCGTTTATACCCCTCCTGTTTATACAGTCTCAATTTGAAGAGCTGTGGTAAGGAAGAAAGATGATGGGCAAACCCTGGAAGCTGGAGAGATAAAGAGAACACGAGCCAAAACACGTGTCATAGTAAAAGGTGGGGGGGGGGGAGGAGAGGGTGGAAAAGGGGAAATTTCAACTCTTCCAGTCTGTGTTTGGAACCTAACAGCTCTGGTTAATGCTACTTACCTGTCCCTTGCCTTTCTTCATGCGGCATGAGCCAAATTCTGCCTTCAGTTGCTCATGTGCAACAACACTGACTTGGATGGCCTTGGTTAAAGGAAGAAAGTCTGTTGTAAGGATTTTGTTAGATAGTAAGAATAAAGCAAGATCCTTTTGTTGTCTGAGATTTAACTTAAATAATACATATCACTAAAGGCCTCTTACAGAGTTGGATTCTGCTCTCACTGAAGTCAAAGGCAAATCTTCCAGTTAGCTTCCAGAGGGACAAGAATCAGGCCATTTGTCTATAAATAGTGCACATGGAACAAAGCAAACTAGCAAAAGTGTCCTCCATCACCTGATGAGCATTGGCTGACCCAATTGTGGGTCATGGATATGTACATTTTTAATTTAAAAAGCTATGTCAGAAGGATTACTTGATTCCTGATACAGCATTTAAATAAATCTACATATCTGTCAAAACTAACTCCAGAGACTAAGTGGGAGGATGGAATTAATACAGTGGCAAAAGTTAATTTTACATTAACATTCATGACAAACTGGGTTCTGGGTATTATTTTTTTAAACTCAATGTATATTAAAATTATTCTTTTGTTAATCTAAAATAGTATCCTTTTTGGAAATAATATATTTCTGCTGGATCTTAAATTTCTTTTGCTACAATTACATTTTGTACTTCACCCAAGGAAGCTCAAAAAACTGTACAAACTGTGTTATTTGGAATATTATCTCACTCTTAAAGGGACTGAAAAGTAAAACCAAACTAGAGCCATAAGGTTATTTCACTATAACCACACTTACTCATTACACGCCTTCCGCATGCAGCAGATGTTTCTTGGAAAGATAGGCTTGTTGCTTTCCAGAATGCTACTTGATGCTTAATGTCATTCACTGATGCAAAAGCCATCTCTTTTGTAGCAAGTGATTAATGTGCTACACGATTTTTGCAGGAGAACAGGAGCCATGTATCTTACAGAAACTTTTTTAAAAAGTTCTGCTGGCTTTGAAGTGTAGATGCAAGTATGCGCCTGGGTGGTGACTGATAACCCCATCTAAAAGCTTGCTTTGACCATCTGCTCATTGGGTCATATGTTTTTCCTATTAAATGGTCTCTACAGAATGCCCCAGAATTCAAGCACTGAAGATCTACAGGAACAGTGCGTACGACCTAAATAAGTCCTTTTTGAAATTAACTGACTCTTGCTGTTCAATTTGTTCTCACACCACAGTCAAGGGCTACAGAAACTCTCTCTCGCAAAGCCACTTTGCTGTCTCTCCAGGATGATTTTTGAAATGGTGACAAATGTTGTTAGGAAAATATCTCTAGCTCCATGTTTCAAGAAAATTACAGCATGCAGAGTAGGGAAGCTGGTCAAAAAATAGGTCTGTTACTATTTTTGTTGGGGGGAAATGTTGCAAAATGTAAACTGTAAAGCATGTGTTAAATAGAGTGGGCATGCTATATCATACACAAGTGAAAGATGTGCATAGGCCAGTGGATTCTGATCTGGGAGAGCTGAAGATACTGGAGAACTGATGGCAGCTCCCAGTAAAGGGTCATATTTTGCCTCTTAGTCTTCTCCATTGTGTCAATAGTGATTATATAATGATCCGGCAAGCCGATTTTTAAATCTATTATACACTAATAGTACATCAAATCAGCATGTAAGTGTGGATGTGTGAAAATAAGCTGGAAGAACAGAATCCTATCCCAACCCATAAGCACACCATGGAGCAGCCGTGCAACTCTTCCGTAGCTGCTGCCTCTCCTCATCACCTATGTATGGGTGCGGGGTTTGTTTTCGTTTCTTCTGTGTGCAGCCAATGGTTCTATTTAAGAGTACATCCAGGGGGCACCTCCCCTAAGTTCCTCTCTGCACAACTTTATACAGAGTCAATTTGAAGCCAGCCTCCATGGCATGCAAAGTATACAGAATGTCAACTCCATGTCTAACTATTCAGAATGCTCTTGCTTACAAGTGTTTCATACCTTTAAAAAAACGTAGCAACAATAATCCTATCAGGGCCATATTGTGAACCCCTTACTTCTGTTGGTAAGCAGGTAATTACATGAGCAGACCAACTGAAGTCAATGGGACTTATCATGCTTGTGGTTGTAAGAAGTTTACAATCTGGCCCTAAATGACTAATTAAATAATGAATCGGAAAGAGACTGAAAAACTTCCATTATATTAGCTCCATTTTCTCCAAAAGAGCCACAAATCTGATTTTAAAAAAGGAAGGAAAAAATGAAACCCTTGTAATACAGAAAATGTATTAGAACGTACTTAAATTAAAAATTGATTATAGATATAATGTATCTGTGGTTAGGAAATGAAGCATTTAATTGAAGTAAAATTCAAAAGAGATGAAATGTGGCATATAATAGAGTTGCTGGAGGCAGCATTCTTAAGCTGACCAGACTTAAGTGTGGTTATTTTGGTGTCCTACTGATAGGATTTGATTTATTTATTTTTTAAAAAGATTTTTCAAGAGACTTAATTTCATAAATTGTATTTGAAATCTAATTTCAGGATCAATTACTTTCTGTATCACTGGGTGGTTTCATGCAAAAATATATTCATAGTAATGCAAATTTCATGTGTTTAGATTTTATTTGAATGCCTAATCAGGAATATGTGCAAACACAACAGAATAAAAGTGATAGTGCTTCTCTGGGTTGAATGAACAGGGATCAGCTAATACAGTAGTATCAAAATAGACTATTTCTTGCTTGACAGACTGACTCGGTGTCTCTAATATTTTTGTGACTTCATGGGGGTAAAATGGAAACAGCCATTCTAGATGTAAGGGCAGTTTTCTATGCACTTTAGCTGCGGGCAGTTTCCCTTAATATTTTTTGAAGGTGGGTGTGTCACTCCCAATTATGCCACTAAAATAAAGCACGTATCTTTTTGATTACCCTCCCGCCACACACACCCCTCAATTTTTCAGTGATATATTCAAACTGTAAAAATATCCTTTGTAAAAACATGTACAACTAAAATAATTTTTATGAGAGACAATTTTTGTCACACATTTCCAAAAAAAAAAATTCTACTATTCCATAGGCTGTAGAAATGCAATAAAATGCTCTCCAGCAGATGAATATATTCATTATGCAACACTTAAATCAGTGCTGAAGAGGGGAAAGGTACAACAACAAAGATTCAAACACTAAACAGTTTGAATATGAAAAGCAAAATATGACTTGATATGCAGAACAATTGGCACATGATTTGAGAGGATAGTCCCACAGCTATTTAAAATAAATAATGAAAGGATTAAATGAAATAGAAAATGTTATCTGGTACTGCTGGACTGATGCAATATTAAAATAAACGGAGAGAGTCAAAGTCTTCTACATACCTATATCCTAAGCTTTCGTGGGTAAAAACCTCACTTCTTCGGCTGCACCCACGAAAGCTTATGCCCAAATAAATCTGTTAATCTTTAAGGTGCCAACAGACTCCTTGTTGTTTTTTAGATACAGACTAACACGGCTACCCCCTGATACTTGATACCTATATCCTGTTTTTTCCCTCCAAAAATATTTTCTCTTTTGGATCTATTTATAAATATTTATTATGATTCTATTGTTAGCTACTATGTAATTATAGATTTAATAAAATATCTTAGAAATTTAATTAAATATTATTAGGACTGTCGATTAATCGCAGTTAACTTGTGATTAACTCAAAAAAATTAATCATGATTAAAAAAATTAATCACACTGTTAAACAATAGAATACCAATTGAAATGTATGTGCTCTTCCCTTGTAACCCCTCCCTCCAGGCCTGACACCTATTGCAGGTATAGCAGGCCAGGGCTGACTGAGCTCATAGCAGCTCATAAGCTCTTTCCTGCCCAGTGTGGAATTTGTATAGTGTCACAGCCATAGAAAGCGTAACCTCCGGAGCGATTTTAACAGTCCTGCCTGAAATAAGGACACGGAGGAAGATTTTTCCCTATAAAAATAATTTTGCACCAAACTCTGGAGAAGCAGAACAATTGTGAGCACTGGCATTTTCAGCTGAGCTGAGAGAACTTATAATTTTCCATGTAAATAAAATGTTCTCCAAATTAGTCAGGTCCAGGAACCTCATGAATATGTAACAGAAGTCAATAGTCAGGGAAGAAAATGTAAGCATCAACAAAATATTTTTGCATTCCGGAAACTTGAACAAGTCATACTGTAGATATTTGATTGTAAACACTTTTCCTCTCCCCCCAGTCTCTTCCTGTGATTCAGCCTGAGGATCACTGCATACTCCAGACACTTTTGGAAGAAAAACCACAAATGCTACTTGCAGTATTCTGCTGTTCAATGAATTCCAGACACACTCAAGAAAATATATTTTCTCATTTCCTTTCACTAACTTGAACAAGTGCAGCATCAATCTAATCGGAAAGATCAGGAAAAGGACCCTGTTCCTAGTGAGCTCATGGTGTCTCAGCAGTTCCCATGGCTACGTGATTTCGATTTCGATGGCTCAATCAGTAACATTGTGTGGGCAGGGTTTATTATTGATTATTATTATTATTATTCCTCTCTGTAACAAACCAATGGGCTGTGCATAAAGTTTACAACAAAGGAGCAGTCTACAGGGGGAACTTCTGGAACCTCATGGACCTTGGATGCCTTATTCAACCAAGCTTAATGCAGCATTAACCTTTTGCTAAGCTTATACCAGCACAGCAGTGATAGTCGCTGTTCTGCATAATCTTATGATACCAAATACAAAGGCAAAACTGTCTGGAAACAGAGATCTTTGCAGTAAATGTATAGTGACAGGACACCTGTGGAATAAGGTGATCGCTCTTTTTCATATTTTTATGAAGAGTCTTGATGCTGATCTTGCACATTATTTTGCCCAGCCTAAGAAAACCCATTCTGCAACATGACTGAAAATTCGTGTTTGTCTGCAGATGCAAGAAGGTTCAGCTTTGGTTAAACTCCAGTTACTACTAATTGTAATTATAATGGGGACAAAAAAGAAAGAAAACACACAAGGTAGCAAAATAGGCCTAGGTTACACAAAACAGGAGATGTACATGTTTTATTGCTATTTCCTCTTTAGAAATGAC